TACAGCTGCCATCCTGAGCAACATGGAGTGGCTACACGGATGTAGGATTTAAACTGGGGAAGGGAAAGGGGAGACCCCTCTCGCACTCCCCTTTTGCAACTATATTGGCTCCCACGCTTTCCACGTGCTCCAAATTTAAACTACACTTGGAATACTACAAGTAGAGCAACAAACATGATCAGGGGACTGGAGGTTAAAACATACAAACATTGCAGGAATTGGGTATGTCTAGTTTAATGAAAAGAAGGACCAGGAGTGACAGGGTAGAAGTCTTCCAATATTTGAGGGGCTGCCACAAAGAAGAGGAGGGAGTCAACCTGTTCTCCAAAGCACATCAAGGTAGGACAAGAAGCAACGGATGGAAACTAATCAAGGAGAGAAGCAACCTAGAACTAAGGAGAAACTTCCTGACAGTTAAAACAATTAACCAGTGGAACAACCTGCCCCCAGAAGCGGTGAATGCTCCAACACTGGAAGTTTTTAAGAAGAGACTGGACAGCCATTTGTCTGAAATGGTATAGGGTTTCCTGCCTGAGCAGGGGGTTGGACTAGATGACCTCCAAGGTCCCTTCCAACTCTGTTATTCTGTATTCTTTAAGTATGCACTAAAAGATATCTAACATTCTTGTTTGCAGATCCTAAAGAAGGAACCAACAAACAGGGCAGGGTAGGTGCTGCAACATGAAAATAACAGAATCACAGAATAACAGTGCTGGAAGGGACTTTGGAGGTCTTCTCCTTTGGGTCAAGACTGACTCAAAGGTGTTTTTTTTTTTCCCTCAAAAGGTGACTGCGCTATGTTTTTACTTGAAGAATTTAAAAAACATAGTCCAGTTGCCTTTTGAAAGGAAAAAAAAGCACCTTTGAGACAACCATGACCTGGATGACTGAGAATCTCCATAGACTTTGGGTCAAGTGTTTTGGCAAAAGCCAAACTTCTCAAGAGCGTTTAGAGCAGTGGTGGCAAACCTATGGCACGCGTGCCAGAGGCGGCACTCAGAGCCCTCTCTGTGGGCACACGCGCCATGCCCCGGAGATGGCAACTGTCCCTCTTCAACCAGCTACCCGCTAACTCACCGAGGTCCCACATGGCCGGATGCATCCCAGCACCCATGCGCTCGCTGGCCTCTGTGTGCAGGGGCTGATGGTGTCAGGCAGCAGCCACTCCAGCCCCTGCCTCACCTTTCCCTGTGACAATAGCACCCCTGCCCTGGCCTGCCCTGCCCTGCCTCACCCCCCCAGGATGAGCCTCCTGCCCACAGCCCCACCTGCCAGAGACCCCCTGGATCTCCCCCAACCCTGCCCGGCCCCCACAGACATCCCTCCCCACGAGCAACATCGAGGTGATCACGCCCACCTTGCCCACACCCATCCAGTCTGCCATGACCACCACAGCCATACCCATCCAGTAGGCCATGCCCACCTGGCACCCGGGCGATAAATAAGTGGGTTTTGGGTTGCAGTTTGGGCACACGGTCTCTCAAAGGTTCGCTATCACTGGTTTAGAGGCTTCCTCGTCTGGTTTCCAAACATTTTCCCCTACAGAATGCCTACCATTTTCCTACAATTTCCTACCTTGTTCCCCTTGCAGAATTGAGTCAAGAGCGGGCAGCCAAGAGTTACAATTTTTTTTTTCTACAGCCCATACCTAGGCTTTCTCCCTCCGCTGCCTTCCCACCAGGACGAAGTTAGCGATCCTGCAAGGAAGACTCTCAGAGAAACGGAGTTGGGAGGGGGGGAGGCTTTCCTCGTTCCACCTTTACCTTCCCCCCCCCCCGGACCAGGGTCAGGTCGAGGTGTGCCGCGCAAGCGCCTTGGAGCCCGGGAGGGGCGCTGCCGGCACCGCCTGCGCCTTTTCTTCTTCTTCTTCTCACCACCCGATGCCGTTTTGCACAGAAGCGGCGGCGGTGGCGACGCTGGAAAGCGCCTTGCCAGCCGGCGACATGGCCAAGCTGCCTTCGCCCAGCCCGGCGGAGCCCCAGCAGCAACAGCGGCTCTTCCTCCTGCCCAGGCAGCAGTCGTTGGCCTCCCCCTTGGTGCTCAATCCCTTCGTGCAGGAGACGCGTCTGGACGCCAAGGAAAAAACCTGGGTAGTTTGGAAACGGGGGTCGGGAGGCGTAGTTGCGCTTGGGACAGTTGCGTAAAGAAAGGCGCATGGGGAATATAGGTGGGGAAAAAAAGGAAGGGGACTTGCGCGGCGGGGGACGCAAGTGGGCTGGGGGTGGGGGGTGGGAGAAGCTGGTGCCCCAAGCTGGAGCAAGGCTAGACGGAGAGCCAAAGGCGTAAAAGGCGGTTTCTAGGTATCTCGTACCGTTTTATTTCTGGGTTTGAGGGGGTCCTTTGGTGCCCTCTGAGCTGGGTGGTTTTCCTGCAGACGTTTCATGACCCAAAACTAGGTAACTTCATCAGTGCTGATGATGTTTCCTAGTTGGGGTCATGAAACCTCTGCAAAACAGGGGGGGGGGTTTTGGGGTTCGAGCCTCTCGTGGTTTCAGGGGGGTAAAGTTAAAACTCAATGTTTGTAAGGGGAGGAAAAGACCCTAAATAACGGTGGAAAATACAAAATAAGGAGGGCCTTATTTGAACCCGCGACTTGCTCTCTCATCTCCACTTTAGGCCAGAGACCTTTACCCCGACCGCCCCCTCCCTTGCCCCACTTCCCCTGTTGCTTGTTCGCGGCTTTCCTTGGAATGCCCTAAAAAGTCTGGGAGGGGAGAAAAAAACAAAAAAACACCCGGACTGCTCCGCGTCTCCTTGAAGCCCGAAGCGCCGCTGAAGACGCGGCCAGGTGGGGCAGGGAGAGTCCCTGGAAATCCTTCCCTAAGGAAAGCGTCGTTCCCGGCAACTTCTAAGAAGTTGGCTCCGGAGGTTTCCGTCGAGGGTTCGCAACCCCGTAGGGTGGGGTTGGTGGTGGCTTCAGTTCAGTTCAGAACGGAAGAGGCTTCTTGGATGAGAAGCGAAACGTCTTCAAAGAAAAAACAAGACAGTCCAGTTGCCTCGTGAAAAAACACCTTTGGGATAACTATGACCTGGATGGCTGAGAATCTCCAGAGACACTGATGGCTGCTTTGAGTTTTGGGCGGTGTTTAATTGGGCTAGGGGAGTTATGGTGCTGGAGAAGACTCCTGCGAGTCCCTTGGACTGCAAGGCGATCAAACGGGTCGGTCCTAGAGGAGATCAACCCTGACTGCTCTTTAGAAGGCCAGATCCTGAAGTTGAAACTCAAGGAATTTGGCCACCTAATGAGAAGGAAGGACTCACTGGAGAAGGGCCTAATGCTGGGAAAGATGGAGGGCAATAGAAGAAGGGGACGACAGAGAATGAGGTGGCTGGATGGAGTCACTGAAGCAAGAGGCGTGAGCTTAAATGGACTCCAGAAGATGGGAGAGGACAAGAAGGCCTGGAGGAACGTTGTCCATGGGGTTGCGATGGGTCAGACACGACTTCGTAATTAACAACAACAAGGGGAGTTAGAAAAGAGAGAAGGAGGAAGGGACGCTTGAGAGGAAGACTTTTTTTTGACTGGCAGGTGTTTTTATTGCTTTGAATTAAGATGGGTCCTTTTTGGGCTAGAAAAACTTTTAGTGTAAAATTGAAGCTATGCTGGCCAAGGTTCACTCTTTGAGTCTGCTTAGAAACACCCCTCTCAATGGCCCTGGTGACTTCTCTCCACAACCTTCTTTAGAACATAGAGTTGGATGGGGGGGGGTTCTAAAGGTCATTTAGTCCAGCCCCTGGCTCTGGCCAGGATTGCAGTGCAGAGGGCAGCCCCAGCATCTGTAGAGGAGACTTTGTCTATTCTTTTGTGTATAATTTTGAGAGCTTTAACATCAGTTACTGAGATAAACTAAAAATAGGCCACAAAATGAAAAGAAATAGAAGAAAAAAACTAAAAGTGCAATAAAAAAGAAACAGAGAAAAAGAGAAAGATATATAGTGAGGAACGATACCAAGACATCAGAAATTATTTTGTCTGTTTTTGCACCTGGTTTAAGTCTGTTCTGTTGTTTTTGGCCGGTACAACTTTTCATATATGGATTAAATGTGTAGCTGCCAATGACTCTGGACTGATAGAGACAAATATTATTTGTGTTTTCTCCAGATCTTGTTCAGCCTGTCTTTATTTTTCAGTCCTTCACACGGTTTGATTTCCACTTTGGTAGCTGCATATGGCCACTTTCCATTTGCAGAGTATGTGTATTTTCAAAGGTATACAAGATATTTCAAAGATGTGCAAGAGTATGCCAAGAAGCTTTGCTAGAATTTGGTCCAAAGTTCTGAATTTTTTTAAAAAAAAAACAAACCCAAAGGTACAATCTAACAGAGATAGACTGCTTTAGCATGTGGAGGTTCCATGTGATTCATAGCCTTTGATTGATGTTCCTGATGACTTGCTCCACTCTTTAAAAAGAAAACAAGTTGATTAAACCAAATATCCTTTCTGCAGCTTGTTCATGAGGAGGGCTGCACCTGTTGGACTTGTGCCTGAGGACAGTGCAGCCTTTTGATCTCCAAATCTCTCTCCTTTCCTGCTTACGGTTCTTACAACGCTATTATGAAATAAGTGTCTTTTCGTACAATTTCATAGACACGGAAGTTAATGTGACAAAAGTTCTTGTTTTGCTAAAGAAGGTACAAGAAGGGAACAAAACTCAGACACTTAGAAGAACAAGATCTGAATTCCAGAAGTCCTAAATTAGATATTTAACATCGTTATTTTTTTTTTAAATTCTGATAGAATAAGCAGTTTTACAGTAGACTTAACAGTACAGCATGCTCAGCTGTTGTCTCTAATGTAGCTTGACCTCTGACCTTGGGCTTTATCTGGTCTTAGTTTCCCCATTTCTGAATTACAAATGTTTTTTAGAACTTCCCCTTTTGCAAATGTTTATTGCCAAGGACAGGATGTTCCTCATTTAGCAGCAAGCAGAACTTATTAAACAGGAATTACTATGGAAGTTAGACTGGTCTGCCTCTTTTAATAGCAATTCATTCCGTATGCAAGTTGGGCTTCAAATCCTGGCTTATGTTTTAGTTTTAATTAGTCGATAGGAAGACGGTTTCCTTTGCTCTATTGACAGTTGAAACTTATTGGTTTTGAATCTCTGCAGCCAGGATTTCCCAAGCTTATAGTGAGATTTATCTTGTATGAAGTCTTGGTTCATGGTTGAGCTATACAAATACTAGTCTTAACAAGCGTTTACAGACAGAGAGAGTCATGGTATAGGGTCTCCTGCCTGAGTAGGGGGTTGGACTAGATGACCTCCAAAGTCCCTTCCAACTTTATTATTATTATTATTATTATTATTATTATTATTATTATTATTATTATTATTATTATTATTATTATTATTATTATTATTATTATTATTATTATTATTAATCATTGCACAGTCAGCCAGATGTTCAGACTGGATTTGGCATTTTTGTCTACCTATCGAGTCCTTACCCAGGACCTGAGATAGGCAGATGTGGATGTTTGATGGTATTAGAGATCTCGTCGCAGGATGGAAGCAGTTCCTAGTAAGGCTGCCTTTTGCAATTGACTAATGGCAAATTTGTCAATGCTGCTGATGGTGTCCAAGTGGTGCTCCAGTTGTTTTGGGATTGCACCCAAGGCACCTATTACTATTGGTACCACCCTTGCTGGCCTTTGCCACAGTCTTTCTATTTCTATTTGTAGGTCTTTGTATTTTGTGATCTTCTCCAGTTCTTTCTTGTCTATTCTCCTGTCTCCAGGCACTGCCACGTCCACTATCCAGACTTTTTTGTCTTTCTTATCGACAATTATGATGATGATGATGATGACGATGATGTCATTTCCTTTCCATGTGATTCTAAATTTGGTTAACTCAACCTAAATTCTGGCAGGAAAGTTTTTGAAAACCAAAACTGAGTGAGAATAGAGCTAGTCCTTGATTTACAACCACAACTGAGCCCAGTTTTTTTTGTTGCTAAGTGAGACAGTTGTTCAGTGAGTTTTACCCCCTTTAATGACCTTTCTTGCTACAGTTGTTAAGTGAATCATTGTGTTGATTAAGTTAGTTACATGGTTGTTAAGTGAATCTGGCTTCCCCATTGATTTTGCTGGTCAGAAGATCGCAGAAGGGGATCACGTGACCCTGGGGATGCTGCAAGGGTCGTAAGTGTGAAAAAGGGTCCTAAGTCACTTTGTTTCTGTGCCGCTGTAACTTCAGACGGTCACTAAGCGAACTATTGTAAGACGAGGACTATCTGCAGAGTGGATGCTTAGCAAAACCAAAATTCATGAAAATGCGGCTAGTTTTGTTGGTAATATTAGCTATATATTGCAGGGACCATTCCAAACTCTGGCTAGTTTTAAAACAGAGATTTACTTCTAATGAAGCTGTAGCTTCCTCCTCTGTTTTTTCTTTTGTGGCTTTCTTTGGAAAGCAGGTAGAACCTGATATTCTAAAAAAGTAAGTCCACATTCTTTAATGCTTTCAGATTTACTCTTTTTCTCCCAGAAGGTTTTCAGTTCTTAAAATCTTGCCAGCCTCCTAACCACAAAGCTCTTGCACCAAGTTAAACATCTCACATTGAAATAAAAGTGTGTGGGGGAAAAATCTGTTTGATAAATGCGAAGAGGAAAAAGTTTCCTCTTGAATTTAATTGCTAGTGGTTTTTGCTTGCTTGCTTATAAACGAGACCTTACTGTAATTCATAGGTGGACGATTAGTGCCCCTTCCTCTTTTTAAGTTTTTACTACAAGTGGTTTTGCCTTTCCAGTTATAGCAACGTCAAGTTCAGAATCTTTAAGATGTATGGATTATAGTTCAGTTCAGCATGCTGGCTGGCTGGGGAATTCTGGGAATTGAAATCCACGCATCTTAAACTTGCTAAGTTTGAGAAACTCCGAATTATAGGATTCCCATATTGTTTAAAAGAAGAGCGCAAAAAAACCCCCCAAAACCTGAGCAGGTCAAAATCAGCCACAAGCAAACTGTTCTGAAAATGCCTCCTGGACATTTTCAGGAGCAATGCAATAGAAAGCCCGCCTTTTATAGTCTAAGAAATGTTTTTTTTCTTGCTGTCATTGTCTTGGAACACACCCGTTGGCATCCGGCAA